GTGCTATTTGCCTTTCCCTCCCCTTGGCTAGTTTTTGCACCTTGCTGTTGGTGGGCGGGTTAATTTCATGCTTTATAAAGGGTGTCCACGATGAAATTGCCACACACAAAATTGATTCGCAAAATTCGAGTTTTCATCCGATTGCCATCAAATTTTCAGGGATTGAGAAATAACTATTAAACTTCATTTTACTCGTATTTTATTTACAGTCCATACGCAAATGCCCGCACCTTGGCCTTAACCCCGGCCATAAGATTCTGCACAACCTGTGAATCAACCGTTTTTTGCATGTAAACCCATACTTTCTTCAGTTCCTCGACTGTCTTCACTACCTTAGGTCGTTTAAGAAGGTGCTGCTTCATAATCGCCCAGTACTTCTCGATGGGGCGGAGCTCCGGAGTGTTGGGAGGGTTGAACATTTTCGGCACGAAATTGACCTTATTGTCCGCATACCACTTCAGCACGTCCTTGGAGTAGTGGCATGAGGCCAAATCCGGCCAGAAGATTGTTGGGACGTTGTGGGCCTTCAGGAGAGGAAGCAACCGCTTCTGGAGGCACTCTTTTATGTACACCTGTCCGTTCATCGTGTCCTGAGTCACGAAAGGTGCACTCCGCTTCCCGCACGTGCAGATGGCTTGCCAAACCAGGAATTTCTTCGCAAATTTGGACATCTTCTGAGTGCGGACATGCTCCGGAACGCTGAACTTATCCTTGGCCGTGAAAAACAGGTTGCCGGGGATCTGTTTGAAGTCGGCCTTCACATATGTTTCGTCGTCCATGATGCAGCATTCAACTTTCGTCAGCATGTTGAGGTACAACTTCCTGGCACGGGTTTTGGCGGACTTGTTCTGCTTCTCGTCGCGATTAGGGGCCTTTTGTACCTTGAACGTTCGAAGCCCAGCCTTAGTTTTGGCCTTCTGGACAAAACTTCGGCTTAGGTGCAGCTTCTTAGCCACATCCCTAACGGAGGCGTTCGGATTTCGGTTGAAGGCCCCAACTACGCGGTTGTGATTTTTGGTGTTGTACGGAATACTGTTTCCATCACTTCTGGGCTTCCGATCGGTGGTCAACCGTTCCTCGAACCGCTTAATCACTCGTGACACCGTGGAATTCGCGATTCTCAACGTTTTAGCGATGGAACGATGCGAGAGATCCTTGTTCTCGTGATGAATGCGCAAGATTTTATCACGCACGAGCTGTTCTTTCGACTCCATTTCCGCGAGTTTTGATCACAGGACTTTAAAACTTGCAGGATGTAAATAATGCACTATGAACTAAATCCACCCAAATTTTCATTAAATTTTACCCAACGGTTAAAAAGTTAGAGCAATTTCATAGTGTGGCAATTTCATCGTGGACACCCTTTAGTGGAGTGTTGGAGACGGTTCGTTTATGGTCGGCGTTGCTGGCTCATGCCGCGATAGAATGGCGTCATGGGCAGGCAATGGGGATTACTAAGCTTCCCCTCTCTGATAAACCACTGCATGAGAGAACCAAAGATCTAGTCTACCAGTGATAGTATCACACTTGTTACTCCTTTAATTGAGAGCCGCGTCGTAGTACGCTTACGTATAGGCACTGACGTCGGGTGTGATACTGGCGGGTTTTGCCGCAAATCACTCTTATTTTATTTATTTTTACGCAGATAGATTTATTTGCATTTGCAAGGGAATTTTACTATTGAAATATTTCAGAAAGTGACCAACGGTGCTCCTTCTATTTGCGTGACAAGTTTTCATTGTTGTTTTCATTGAAGTATTACTCAGGAAACAATGTTAAACATCATTTTTGTACATGGTATTGTAACTAATCTTATATGTGCTTCATTTTGATTTGGGATAAGTGTTTGAACTATGGCTCGGGATTTCCACTGTGGCGTGCTTCTATTGTGACGTACCCATACGTATTTGTGTGGTGCGACATAGTGGAAGCGTGTGAGCATAGTTGGAGCATATACCCTATATAATTTAAAAATCAGCTAGGAAACTAACTTCAAAATGAAGCATTTTAGTCACATGAAGGTGTCACCTGGGTCGAACTAAGGTATAATAAATAGGTATAGGCTTTAATCGAAAGTACTTGAAACACGTTTAATTTTAGATTACAAGCACAAGTGCAGGTACTTGATAAAGCATGGGTTATGATTGATTAGGTGAATTAGAGCTTTTAATAATTTATTAAATTAGGCTAATGAGATATCAAAATCATCAAATGAACTTAAATAAGAAACTTCAGAAAGTCTAATGACATTAAGTAGATTAACAAAAGAATTAGGATGCGGGGGGTCCGCTTAGGGAGGCAACTAACCTTTAAAGTTGTAGAATAAATCTTCTTATTTAGTCTTGAACTTTAAAAAGAAAACGCAGGCAGACCAATAGCATTAAGCAGATTAACAAGGAGAGGAATACTTCAGGAAATAAGTAAAAGTATTATTATTATTTAGCTTTATTAAGGAGGCTTTCAGCCTTGGGCTGGTTCGCCTCCAAAATATAAGTAAAAGTAGAGGTATGTGACAATTAATAGCTTTTAAACTTTTGGAGGTATTGTATTCCCCTGAGTTTGTTGTACTCGATTACTATATTATTCTCTCAATACGCGAAATCTCTTATATATGCAATTAAAGCATTTGAGTTAACTTATTTCTTAGTGTTCAAGTACTTACATTTTTGAACAGCAGTCAATGTTAATCGATGAACTAAACCATACGTAAAATCGATCTTTCCTTATTTGGTATTGATGCATGTTTAACTTTTCGCGGCTGTCGGATTCAACGCGTCTATGTCTACGGAGGTTACGCAGAAGTGATTCGCAATGCGGTAGAGCTCACCAAAAGTTTTTTTGAGCTTCTGTAGTATAGAATTTGTTCGGTACGGTCGTGAAATTTTGAAATGATTGATACGTGCGGTAAAATAACTAAATTGAAACAAAGCTCAACAGTAAAATAAGTAGAATATTTAAGGAGGAAACCAAAATTAATCAACTTGCCAACATAGGCTATTACATTTATTTTGGTGGCACTCTTTAAGTGATAATAAGCTGTTTTTTTTCTCTACGTTTGTTTCGCGTGGCGTTCACAATTTGCGCGATTTTCATATCTTACGTAATTTAGATGTTAAGCTCTAAACGGTTTTACTGACTCGAGGTCGTTCCTTAAGCGGTGTTGGTACAGGTTAAACCTTTGCCGACTGTCGGATTCAACGCACCTACGCCTACGGAGCTTACGCAGAAGTGATACGCAATTCGGTAGAGCTTGTCAAACGCTTTTGAGCTTATGTAGTATATAATTTGTTCGGTGCGGTCGCGAAATCTTGAAATGATTGATACGTTCTTTAAATTAACTAACTAACTAACTGTTTTTCACTGTTAAATGCTGTATTTAAACTTAAAAGATTGCTTATTGCCGTTATGAAACCACAATAAATCAGAGTAAAAGCCAAAAGGTTGTTAAATTGTTACTTGGGTTATCTCTATGGGCATTTTTTGGCAACCTTTGTTTTTATTTACACCTCGGATGACTTCACCTGGGTTGTGCAAGATTCCTTTATTATCCTGATTTGTGCAAACAATACTTTCCACTCAACAGAGTCAGTTTGTCTACTATGCTCGATAGGTAGATTTTGATTTCATTCTGCGTAACTCTTCTATTATCAACTCTGTGTTCAACGAAACTTCGGCATATTTTCAGTTTACTGAAAATAAAAGAAGAAATTCTTTCCTTTATTTAACGTCGGTCTCTCTTCCGCAATCTAGTGCCAATCACTGACGGACATCGATTGCCATCCATTGACGGCAATCGCATGTGCAGGAAGGCAGCTTCCACACCTGCGTAGGATATCGCACCCATTCAAATATACATGGGCCGGGACACTGAACTGTTACGGCAGTATATTTCACCGAGGATTTTGTTTTTTAGTGTGTAGGACTTTGCCAATTGTATTTAATTTCTATTTTTTTTGCCACTTGTTGTTTGTTGAGCGGCTTCTTACGCCTGCCACGGCTCCCTGTCTGAATAATTTCTAGCCTAAAGTCTAGTCTAGGAGAACCATCGTGTTTAAGCTGGGTTTAGACTAGGCAAGACAAATTATCAACTTGGTTGAATTCAATTGGCTTGAAAATTTGAGCATGGTTCAACTTTTTTTCAATTCAAGTGAGTTGATCAAGTCAGTTGAATGGCATGGTTTACACGTTCAATTCGCGTTCAAGTCAGTTGAATTCAAATTACTTGATCAATTGACTTGTCTCGTCCAAACCCAGCTTTAGAGTCCCACGCTGATAGGATAGGAGGACGATGATGCTGATATGAGCTACCCAAAACAAAGAGAATAGATGCTCGTGTTGTAAAAGTCACTCCATCCGAAGAGATGAGCTCCCCTCTTTCCTGTTAGCATACGATCAAGGTACAACCAGGGTTGGTTACCCGAACTTCCCTGTAGTTACTCGTACCCCAGCACGCACCGCGGGGAGGTTGGGATAGGAGCTACTGGCCATCTTCATATCAATAAGTCAACTCATCTTAAATAAAAAACATCATGACTGAACAGATATTTTACTATCATAAGTGCTCTCACACTAGAGGTCAAATCGTATACCGAAATCTCAACAGCTGAACGTTCGGTAAAAATTTGACCTTAATTTTAAAGAATTTACAACTTTATTCAAATGATCAGGTTTAGTGGAGTTTTCGTTTTATAGCAGCTTTAAAACAAATGGCTGTTGAGATTTTGGTAAAAAAAATACCGAAGTCGGCGATAATTTCTAAGTGTGCGGACAAGGCATTCGTGACATGATTTAAAGGGTCCTGTATTATGGACAAAAATATTTATTTTTTATATAATTTTGAACAGTTTAATTTATTTTATACAGCTGATTTACATTATCTATACACAATTGAACTTCAAATTTGCTGGAATATCTAATCAGGGATGCAAAGGTCCTCCCGAACAGATCCACAACCTTGATTCACCTGGGAAAAGTAAGTGCCCGTGGGACACTCTCTGGAAATCGTCATTCCGCTCACACACTCGTAGTGGCGCCTACAGCTAAATGGAAATTCCGTCAATGGAGGCCGCAACAATATCCCATTGATCAAACCAGCACACAAATTCAACGCTTCGGATGGATCGCACGCATCGACACATTTTTGTTGCCGTTGGCTGAAGAAGCGACCTCGAGGACACTTCCACTCGTGTTCCATATTGTGATGGCATGCTATGTATTCATCACAAATGCCTGCGATCGGGAAACGGAGCTTTAATCCACCCGGAATTCCATCGCAGAAAAATGCTGCCACTGCTTGTAGCAGTAGAGTGATGGATATCACTAAAATTAAAACTGTGAATTGGTTGTAAGCATTAGTGGGGATCCGACAGAGTATGAAATTAAATTAATTCAAACGTATACCTTTCGCCATGTTGCATGAACAATGCTCAAAATAAGACTAACTAACGTAAGTGATTTGCGGTATAAATCTTGAGAAATGTTTCATTTGAATGCGCAATTCTGGAGAAAAAAAAACAAACCTTTAAGGCAATATCAGAATGTAGATTATGTCTATCTGGTTTCACAACTTTTCGGTGAATCGATAAGATAAGTTTTTGATAAAGAGAATTTAAATGAGATTCACGTGTATCGCTGATCTCTATCGTTTTTTAATTAAAGTGTGCATATTAGGGCGGTCCCAACTATCCTATTTGCTCCGCACAACACAATCAATTCCAAAGTTGTTCCCACAAAAATGCTCATTTGTTTGTAAATGGCATTCATACTGACCCGACACTTTTTGTTCTTTTCATCCTAGTCTTATGCCACGCTCAGACTAAATATTTATAACTAATATTACGATATTAGGGCTAGCTTCCCAGGCAAAGGCTGAGAGCAAATTGAAAACTAAATTTGATGTTGTGATGTAGCCAATAATTATTATTCAGACTGCTGTCGTTTTGGTCGCTTTAACGGTTTAAATATTAAGTTTGCCCAAGGAATCCAACTTCTATCTCGACATTGTGAAAAAAATAATTTTGCAAGATAAAATAAATATTTTCAAAAATTGAAGCAAAGTCATACCCATCCACTTTGTTGAAGACAACATCACTCTAAAGCCGCCATTCCTGGTGCTATTAATAAAGAGCGGGAAAATGGAATGTTTAACCACTGTGCACCGGTCTAACCAGCGTCTTGCAGATAGTCAACTTCGTGCGGCAACGATTTTTATTCGACCGGAGCGTCCTCCGGAGTTCAAAACAGGCACGATTCCTTCTTTGTATTTGAATTCTTCTGATGGTATCATTATCGACGGTCACCAGTGAGCCCAAATACACGAACTCGTCGACCAGCTCGATTTCGTCACCGTCAATCTGAAGACATTTCTAAAAACGTAGGTTACTCAGCGCTCAGCTTCGCACAAAAATGGATCACGGATAACTCACTTCTCTAAACTCTACACGTGCCATGATGTCACACAGCAAAGTTAAAAACTGGATTGGCTTCCTGAAGATCAGTGATGCAAAACTTCGTGACACTCACGCGACACTCGTCAATGCACCAACCGACTATCGCTTCCAGAACCATGGCAAACAACTATTACCAAATAGTCGCTGCTCACAGGAAAAACGTAACATTTGCTGCGGATGATGAAAAGCAACTGTGTGAGTTACAAACAAAGCTGGCAAAATTAAACGGAAGCCATTGGGCTCACGCACTAACACACTCACATAAGCAAGCAACGCAGCAACTGCTTCAAAACGAGATCATATGACTGTCGTAATTGTCATGAATGACCAGATCGGTGATGGATCACCGCCGAAGACGACATTCATCAGTTGCTTTTTACTTCTTGCGTCAACTTGATGGATGGTCATGGAGAGAGCATCAACAAGCACATTGATTGGGATGTACGAAGTTACTACCGTCAGCTGTTCGACAATCGTGATTGTGATAGGTTGCAACTCTGCTGAACACACTCAGTTTTGATTGTCCCATCTTGGCAATATTTTGCCGAGATTTGCACAGTCGAGTGTTCGTCAATACATTATACTGAGAACTCATCAAGCATTACGTTTGTTTGCTGCGATTAGAAGAAGCAGTTTCCGAGAATCAGCATCCAAACGTCACTTTTCCTGAAATTTCAGCAAAATAAAAAGCTGGAAGCTCGACTGGGAAAATTTCAGCAAAAATGCCGAGATTTGGCAGATAAAATTAAGTGTGAAGATCGTGCCACTCGTGCCTATCCCCGCTCTTCTTATCACACCTTCCAAAGCGAAGTTAAATAGTAGACACGAAAATCCATCACCTTGCCGTAGACCCCTCGAGATTCAAATGGACTCGAGAGTGTCCCCGATACTCGAACAACGCACATAACCACTCGATGCATCGTTGCCTTTATCGATCGCGTCAGTTTATGCGGAAATCCGTATTCGTTCGTGAACTGCCATAGCTGATCTCGATCGATTGTGTCGTATGCCGATTTGATACGTGGGCACATTGTATTTCCGGAATTTCTTCAGAACCTGTAGAACTGCGAAAATCTGGTCACCCATGAATCCCACCTGGCATTGCCACACGAACTCTCTTGTAAATGGTGACAAAAAGGCGGCATAGAATTTGGGAGTGAACCATGTAGGCGGTGTTCAACAGTGTGATCAGTGTTGGGAAAATATGAAAAAATCAAATCCCTCCAAAAATCAAAATCGTGCTTGATTTTCATAGAAAAAAATCGTCCCCTTACTCATATAAATAGTTTCAAACTGAAATAAATTCGAAGTTTCTTATCTTATCGATTTGGTATGTTCAGGATGAATTATTCAAAAACATTTGCTCAATCTCATAAGCGTTGTTAGAGATCGGGGGGGGGGGGGGATCTTACTATATGCAGTTTAAAAACGAAAATTATTGTAGTGTAAATATTTAATATCCACTTGTCCGTTCATTTGTTAGTGAGGAGATGTTGTTTGAATTATTAGCAGCTGGAAAATTTTAAATTTCTCTACAAAGCTTTTATTTAAAATATTAAACTGCCATTCGGGCCACCCGCATATAGAAAACACAGAAGTAGTCGTACGTCATGAACCAAAAACAAGAGAAAACGAAAACTGTCTTCACCAGTTTCGTCTAGGACACAGGTATAGTCGGACTTCGCTTGTTGGACTAACTTTAAGTGGGCTAAGTTTCAGTTGGGTTCCCAAGCCAAACGTCACTATTAACAGTGCTGATTCCTTTTCGAAATTTCGACCGGCTTCACGCAAAAACCGGCAAACGAGTAGAGTAATGAGACAGATTATTTCAATTCGATACAACGAGTTGCTTCCTTGATGGTTGTCAACGATATGGCTGAATGAGGTGTGAAACTAATTTCTGACTTATCAAGAAATTCACCCGAGACCTAGTTCAACAGCAATATTTGCTTCAAGGGATGGAACATCATCGCAAAGAGTACCTTGAGAAATCATAAAAAAAATAATATGCGCTAAATATAATCATTACAATCCAATGACATTTATGTGAATATATCTGACATTGTATATTGGACAAAAAAGAGCAGGGAAGAGAATGGTAGTACTCGCTTTACAACTGCTCTTATGTGATTAAGCAAATGTTGTTGAATAACCCATCCGAACAACTCGAGAAATGGGAAACTTCGAAGTTATTTTAGTCTTTATCTTTACTTTCATTGATATAAGTGAGGACTGGAAAGCATACAGTAAGCCCCCTCACCCCCACCCCATGTCTAACTACCCCTATTAAATGGAGCACATGTTTTTGAATACATCTGAACATTCCAACTTGACGAGATCAGAAACACCGAAGTTATTTGTATAGTTAGCCCCCCTCATCTCTTAATGTGTCTATGAGATTGGAAAATTGTTTTTGAACATACCAGTTCAAGAACATAAGAAACTCCGAAGCTATTTAAGTTTGAAACTTTACTTTTAAAATGAGTGAACCAAGCAATTATTTTCTGTAGAATAAATTAAATTTAAGAAGTACTGCCTATTTAGGGCTATATTTCTTCAGTCTTGTGAATTATTGTTTTTTTTTTTATCAAAGCAGATGCTTCAAAACGTGATTTCAGTCATATTTATGAAAGGAATAATGCAAAATTTAAGCATTTAGTTGAAATATCAGTGGTGGTCATATTGCCCCGAATGAACTTGAGTAATATTTGTTAAGAAAATCTTTAATGGTTATTTAGAAGTAGAAAAAAATTGCGTCATATAAGAAACCAATGACCATTTGTAAAGCTGTTGAAGGAATATCAACGATAAGTTATAAGAACTGCTTATAAACCTTATTTTCTGATTCAGAAAATTTATTACAGTTTTGACACTTTGAGGTATTCTAACAAAATTCGAATATTTGCTCTAGAGAAAAGTATTTTGTTATAGGCTTAAATAAAATGGATAGTTGAAGTTGAAGCCTGCAACAGATTTTTTGTAAAATATGTTTAATAAGTTGTTTTTTAAGTGGGTGGCCAGATTGCCCCATTGGCCATATTGCCCCACTTTCCCCTGTAGTGTACGCTAAAAATTGACATGTAAACACTGAATTTGAATACTAGGCCTTGAAAGCCTTGTTCGTTACACCTATAATAATGTAAGTTTCAAGCCTTTAAAGATGATAGTTAATGTTTCTCTACGATGAATCCAGTAGCTCTGAGTAGCACTCTTGGCCTCTCAATTCCCAAAAGGTCATATGTACACCTTATTTCCAAACATGTTTGCTCGGAGCAAGGCTGCTGGGCATCTACTGAAGTTTTTGTGTAGTACAGAATAAATCTGAATAACTTGCAGATCATAGAATTTCTCAGATCAAAACTGGTGTAACGAAAAGCTAGAATGCAAAAATATCAACTTTGATAATTTTAATCAAAATTGTCCAAGTTGGACACGATTGCGTAAAATCGATTTCTTGAACCACCCTGATATCTGCATATCAGTGCGTCAGTGTTAATTGAAACTTTTGATCAATGTTTTACTAGCGACATTGACTTAATCCTCCTCAAAGCCCCCCAATTGATTATTTCACTTAAAAACAAAGATATCGATACAGCAAATGTTATCTAAAGCGCCTTTTCTAGATAGTTCGCAAAATATTTCTTCGTTTAACAAACCGTCTGCTGATCCACTTGAAATCATTCGAATAATTATAGTCAAAGAGAAAGGACGCAATTCGTAAAAAAATGAGTAGATTTTATAATTTAACTTTGTTCGTAATCTTGACCGCGACGGTCATCATCGGTTCAACTACAGCGTACTATTGCGATGGACTGATTGGAGGAATGCTCATCAAATGGCATGAGCCTGAGGTCTGCGAACGATTCTACGCCTGTCAGCACGGTACGGACCATGAATGGTTCTGTCCGCCAGGTGAATTTTTCAGTCAAAGGAACCAACAATGTGAGAGTACGTGCAATCCAGTGGATCAAAGTACGTAGACAAATGTTCTTAAAAAGTCGGCTGAATCACATTCACTACATTTCTTGGAAATTTCTTTCACAGACCAATGGTGTGCAGGACTTCCTGATGGAATATTCATCCGTGTTCCTCCGAATGAACCATTCGATTGCAACAAGTACTATACCTGTGTAGGAGGGATCATGCACGCACAAAGATGTCCACCAGGGTTCCTATTTTCGCAGTTGAAACAAATGTGTGGATTTGAGCCATCGGATTGCTGATTATAGATAGTTTATCTTATATGTACAAAGTTAAGTAAACGTATAAAACGTATAAAAAATACAATATACAAATTACAAACTCATCGAGGTTCGGTAGGTTTTCAAACAACTATACGTGATCTACACTCTGGAACGGTTGGAACACAAGTGTGGTTTATTGTCAATTATCAAAGCCCTAGCTGCCCTACGCTTTTCCCTAAAACTGCTAGCTCTGCGCCTAGTAACGATGGTCCGATCGTCGTCCGTTACATTCCTGGATCGAAATTGCGGATTGCCATGATGCAGGAGCCAGTGTTTATCGAGTGAACTACTTCAACATTTTTTTTTTGTTAGTTAATTTATTTGATAATGCTCAATCGAATTAACTTTACAGAGTCGAGGATTCTTGTTCATTATTCAAAATATCGTAAAACTGTAGTCAAAAAGTACAGCACAACAAACACTTTATCTTCCGCTATCCAATAAGCCTCCTGCTTCATAATAGGATCCGCTTCCAGTATGGCAGTATACCCAAGGGGGTCAGAGCGCTTCCATTGTAGCAATGGACGCGAAACGTGGTCATCACTCACACACTCATCACGAAACGGTTGCTTTTCAAAGTCGACGACGCATCGACCGAAAGAACTGCTAATGTTGAATTTTGAGGTGGACCACACAATGGTTGATGTCGAGTAAACAGACGATCGCTGAACACTGACTACTTCAATATGTATCGCCCGAACGGATGTCAATCGGTCAAGTATGTGGCTAGCATTCCCTTGCGTTTTTCGACCCTTTTGCCAACGATGACATCAATTGGGTCGATGCTCCGGCGAGCGTGAACGGGCGTGAGAATGCTCCTAGACGACCAGGAGGTAGGTCTGCCATGATTGGAGGATTTGGCTCCGCATGTTCGATCTGACATCTTTGACAATTTCTATATGCTTGGTTGAAGCACGAGCGTATGCGGCCGCTTTGATATTTCTGCAGCAGTTCGTTTATCACTGTTTCGTGGTTTTGGTGACTGCCAGTGGTATTTATTGTGGTGGTGTGATATTATTAGTAGTAGTGATGTGGTGCTTGTGTGGTAGGATGATGGGTTTCTTCGCGTCTTCAGTGGCGTATTGGTACACTGCGATACGCGTTCTCATGCCAGGTTCGTCCAGCCACGGTGTCAACTTATACAGCGAACTAGATCTTGGAAGTACCGCTGTTTGTTGTTGAGGTGTTCCGAAGCATGGAAAGTTTTTCAGGATAACCTTCTTGCGTGAGGCGAATCAGGTATGCTTTAGCTGTATAGAGTTCGTTTTCAATTAGCGGTCCCGTTTAATTCGGCTAATTCCGTTGCTTGGAGCGGCAGTGCTGTTAATCGTAACACACGTGCGACAACATTTTTCAATCGTTCCCAGCTGGAGTAATCAGTGATGCAGATGATTGGTTTTGGGAGAGTGCAGTGGACTGAAAGACTTGTTAGGAGCTCGGCGTCTGTGGATTCGTTCCTGATTGCTGATTGTGGCCACTTGTCTTCGGTTATCCGTTGAACCACCTGCTCTCAAAGGATAGATCAGAATGTACGTCCCACTTTATGCCGTCGTCAGCTACGTTTAGCTTGCTTGATACGTGTCGCCATTCGTGCCAGTGTAGCGCTGATAATCGGAATTGATCCAGCACAAAACATCCCATAAGGTAAAGGAGCAGATGAGTTTGCTGGTGGAAAGATCATATATGATTACCTTTGTATGGGTCCCCTCACATTGCTCAATCCCAGGCAATGAGAACGCAGACTCTCTCTCAAAGGTGGGCTAACAAGGCGAGATTTATGATAGAAGAGTTTCACATGATGATTTTTTCCCATTCGTACGTCAGAGTTCTCTTTTAAGTTGGCAAAACGATTTGACAAATAATTCTCTTGGGCGGTGGTTACATTCCATTATTCCAAATGTTTCTTCGAGGTTTAAAGGCCGTCGAGATCATTGGCTGCTGGTAGCGGCGTCGCCTCAATGGCGCAAGTGCTCCTTGCCTGAATGATAACTACAAATCTCGATTACTTTTCGGAAGGACATATCAGATTTTGTAAATAACGCATTTTATCGTCGGTTTGGCATAACTAATAGCTCGCCCCACATACTAACACCGCTAACAGGTTGGGAAATTTTCCCCTATCTGATGGTAGTATTAGCATGCGTGGGCGAGCTACCAGTTACGCCAAATCGACGATCAAATGCATTGTTTACAAAAGCTGATACGTTCCTTCGAAAAAGTAATCGAAAAATACTTCTTGGGCTGTGTACCAATTGCCGAGTTAAATTCAACTCGTGGTTTAACGTGACATTTCATACACTCAAAAAATTCCACACGCCATCATCATGTGTCTCACACTTAATTTTGCGCATATTGTGAAAAACATCCATTTCATGTGTGAATCTTATGCTATGAACCATGCCTGAACACTATGGATTTGAATTGTGACACACTTGGATTCTATGTGCCTCATATGGTGATATCAATAGCTTTGCACACCATAGTTCAATATTCTACAATATTCTACTTTATCGACTTCTACTTTACCGACTCTAAAAATGAATCGACAAATATATAAACAAAACTGCCAGAGGCCAGAGCTTTCAAATATCTTTTTAATGGGTCTGATTTTGGATTCGATCATGAACTGTTGGGGTGTGCTGCTGCCAGAGTCTTCGTTCGATCTCATTGTGCCACGGTTGTTCTCATATATGAGGCGGGTTGATAGGAAAAAGTCACAACTCTTGTTTTCGATGTTTACCTTTCTGAGCAAGCAATTCACATCGTATTGAAATGCAAAACACTTTAAATCCATCTGTTTTGAACAGTAGCGTGATTCAATGTGCAATACACTTGAATAGACAGTGAAAAAATTTCAACATTTCAAAGTTTGAAACACTATAAAGTAACGTGTATAACACATTGAACCAAGGTGAAATACACTTAAAGTAAATGTGATTCTGCATTTAAAAAATCTAGTGTTTAAACACTTCGATCAAACGTGTGAAATGTTTTGAGTATAAGTTATTTGCAATGTTCGAAAATGCCGGAAATTGATCAGTTTTCAAACAGAACTCAGCCACGGTTAGCAAAATTTAACTTCTAGTCGGTCCGAAATAACCACGCTAGTATAGCAGGGTTATTCGATAACTCATCTGTCACTTTTAACCACGAGTTAAATTAAACTCACCCATTGCGACACAGCCTTGGGAGTAAAATTAGGGCCATCCATAAATTACGTATATTTTGACCAACTAACCCCCCTTCCCCCTCGGAGCGTGTTTTGCAATACACCTAATACATGCCCGGTCCCAACTTCTGACACCCCTCTCCTCCCTCAACTCCTACGTTATTTATGAAAGCTCCCTAATCATTGGGCAACACTGAAAGACAGCAGCACACAGCACACAAAATGGGTTGGACATTTATGCGAAATTTCGGTATCGAAAGTCAATATTTCGCGATCACAACATTTTAGCTTAAAATTCCTCCATTTAATTCTCAGTACATCTTCAATCTATTGGTTGAATTAAAAAAAAATCTTAATATGGTTTTTTAAGATTTCGTGCGTTTTGTGAACGCACATTTATTATTTTGCATTAGAAAACGGGAACGGGGTGTTTCTGTGGTGATAAAAAGGATTTTCCTACACAGATTACAGTTTTCTGAACCAAGCACTGAAATTATCAGACGGTACCTCTATTTATGCGTTTAGATTAGCTATGAAAGTCCCTCCTACTTGGAAAATTATGCTGTAGAACGGTTTATACAACCCCATTTTGTTTTGCATAATTCTTCAAGAAGGAGGGACTTGCAATGCTTATCTCTTAGCATAAATAGAGGTACCGTCGAGTTTTTTTTTCAGTGCTAGGTTCTGAAATTCAACAGTGAGTGTTCAAAAGGGCCTACTTGTAATGTTCGATTCTCTTCATCGATTTTCTGTTTACAGCTAAGCGAAACAATTAATCATTTTGTTAAGCTTCTGCATTCATGTTCCATCAGATGTCACTGCTGTTATTTGCAGTGACATGTATCGGAAACTGCACACAATCTGTTTTCCGTTAATTGTTCACAGAGGAGACTGCAGTGCAAAACATTTCTGGTACCTCTATATATCCATTTAGATTAATATTCGAAGCCCCTCCTGTTTTACACATTCTGCACACAAAATAGCTCACCCCTCACAGAATTTCCCGCCAATTTTTAAGAATGGGGCCGGGCAGAAAGTATCTATGCGGAGAATATGTAAAAAAGGAGGGACTTCAAATGTTAAAGTAAATGCGTATATAGAGGTACCAGACATGTTTTGTAGTGTCAGGTACTCTATTTTGTAATCTGTGAAAGGGAAATGACAAATCGAGTGTCATCAAAATACATGGCATGTTGAGAGATTGAGGTCGTGAGAGCAAATTTTCTCTCTCAAATTTGTTAGCTCTCTGGGGACTGGTAGTAACGCAGGTAAAACTGTATGGGAAAAAATCGTTTTTTTAAAGTTGTAGCTTGTTTAACAATAATTTCCGGGAAAAAAGTGAACGACAAAGTCTCTTGCTAATTTCTTTAGTTTGTCGTTCACTGTTTTTGAACTGAATATGCACCGAAAGCGAATTATTCCCACTTCTCTCAATTTCTATATGGGAATTTTTATCACTGCCTACCAGCGGAACAGCGCCATCTCTGTGGAAAATGGTCGAACGAAATGATTAATTCAAGTTAAACATTGCATTAGGTCCTAAGTAACACTGACAAGATTCTCTTCATCGACTTTCTCCTTGAATCCACTTGGCCCAGGTATTTTCAGCACACATATCGATAAAAGAAGTTTTTTATCTAGCATCTAATACGACAAACACCACAAGGAACGATTCTGTGCTCAAGTTATTTAGGCTGTGTTCCATTTGGTGAATTTTTACTTATATTTGACAGATGGAAAATTTTCAAATAAACCTGCTATTCCAGCAGACTTATTTCTGATAGACAAGGAATCAATTTGACAGACGCTTTCTCAAAAAATCGGCCGATCTACAACAGAGGGATTTTCGAACATCTTAATTTATTTTCGAAGCGTCAAATCTAAGTGAAAATTTTCCAAATGGAAAACAGCCTTAGGCTGTAAACCATTTGCCGAGTTAAATTTAACTCGTGGTTAAAAGTGACATTTCGAAAGTTATTCTTGATGTTCGAAAATCTCTGTGGTACCGATCGATCGGTTTTCGAGCAGAATTCAGCCACGGTTGTCAACATTTAACTTCTTGTCTATCAGAAATAACCACGCTCGGATAGCAGGGTTAATCAATAACTTTCCATCTGTCAAATGTTAACCAAAAGTTAAAATAATCCACCAAATGGTTCAGAGCCTTAGTATTATTTTTTTATTTGTTCAATCTGTAGATAAAAGATGTACCGAGAACTTATTGGAGGGATTCATGGCTAATTGATATCATCTCGATCAACTATGAAATGTTGCATAACATTGATGAAAAATTGTGCACTCCATTTTTGTGTGTGCATTTATTTTTAGCGTTTTGAAGTTGAATCGCTGAGGATCAATTTCATTACCATAGAAAAATTTCAAGAGTACAGATATCAGCTCTCACAAAACTTATAACAAAGAAACTGGAACTTCACGTTTGTTGCAGTCCAGTTCACAAGGAGTTTCAATTTCATGAGTGATGTCACAACACCTGGAGAAAGCCTTACTCATATCTGATTGTAATTTAGGAACCAAATGAAATAGTATTCGCATTTTTATGAGGTCCTGAATTTAAACAAGTTTTACTAAGTAGGAAATCCAAAATTTGTACATAGGACCGAAATCATAGGTTACTTCTACTGTATTTTAAATCAATATCTAGAAAAAAATGCACGAGAATTTCACTACACAGCTTAACGCAGGCTACGTCAACCCTGCGGTCGTGTGTTGTACAAAACCCCACCAATTTTTTTTTTTCTTACGGCATTAGGGTGGCCCCTTCCCTGTTAATTTGGAAAAAAAATAGTTTTCCTATTTTTTTATAATTTTTGGATTTTGTATCAAAAGGTCAAATGAAAGATTATTAAAACAAGTTTTTAGGAAAAATATGAATATGGGCTTTAATCGTGGTTTTGCATTGAAAAACATTGATCGATTAACATCATTTGCATGGTCCAGGAACCAAAGGTGCTATTGCATGTTTTTTTTCGCTTAAAAGTAGAATTCAGCGTCTTAAATGCTTTTCCGTACCTCGATATGTCCGGGTTTGATAGATCGTCGATAAGCCACTGCTATTCTGGTGCAAGGAGCACCATCATCGGGTTTGAATGGTTACGACAGCAACTCGCTCATAAATGGTGTGATGTGATATGAGTGGCCCGGTGGCCTTAGAACGACCGTTTTTGCTTACTCAGCAGAACATCATGGATTAAATCTCAGGTCCCTTCACATTCTAAATTCGTTAGTCGTTTTTTTTTCTTAACATGAACACATGAAACGAACTTTGCTGCAAACCCAACCATTTTATTCAACATCCCAGTGATTTCTCTTGGAAGTGGAGAAGATTTATCGGCTTCCAACAAAGCTAGTAACCATTCCTTATTTGACGTCGACGTGCATTCGGACGTGGCCGGTGCTGATATTGCCTATTATAAATTTAGAGATCACCAGTTTTTACACATTGAAGATCATAGCTAGTTCGCTGTGTAATTCATCAGTGTCATTCCCACTTTTTATACCTGTGATCATGACATTTTTACCTATGGGATGAGTACTTAAGGGGGTTAGGTTTTTGATAAGTCTTTAGTGGGAATGACACTTACTGCACATTGTAGTCGAAATTCGTATCTTTCATGGATACCAAAATTAATTAAGTGGAATTAAATGGAAGATAACCTTTTTTGCTGTTTCATTTAAGCATTCCGCTAAACAACCCAATTTCATTACTTCATGGGGAGACTTTTGATTTACAAAAATATATGAAAGTTAGGACGGCTCATGTCTAAGTTTAGCAATTCTGTAATTAAATCAATTATGTGGGTGTACGGTCTGTAGTACAATTTCTTGTTTTTCTTTTCTTTTTCAGATGCTCGGAATCGGTACAGACAAGGTAGATCTGCTTTCGCACCGGTTCCAGTTTTCCAGCGTCCTAGGACTAGACGACCAGTCATGGGGCTATTCGTACCGCGGTTTGACTCAGCACAACAGCCAGCTTAAATACTATGGGAAGAAATTCAGTCAAGGTCGCATAATCGGTGTATACGTCGATTTGTTCCGGGGGGTTCTCGAGTTCTACCTAAACCGACGATCCCAAGGCCGTGCCTATGCAAACATTCCACGCGACAGCAACGGATGCATTTACCCGATGATCTGCTCTACGTCAGCCAAGTCATCAATCAAACTTATCAATGCAGCATCTTTCAAGGATAGCCTAGTGTTCAACTGCATGAAAGTGATCTCCAAGTATCCAAAATTGTTGGAGCAAGTGCATGCAGTCCCTGGATTACGGCGACTTGCAGATGATTTGTGGTTCCTTCAGTTGAGGGAACCGAAAAAGACTGATGAATTTCAGCGCAACAATCTGCTGCTAGAGGATGAAGCTCTACTGTGTGGGTTGAAGAAAAAGAAATTCAACGACATTGTTACCCAAAGCCAGTCGCACACCTCGCAGGAATGTGAAAATATATCTGAAGATCAGATATACGACAATATGATCACGGAAGAAGATACTAAAAAACATTCAACGAACAGTAGTCGCACTATTAGCACTAGCAGCAGCAGTGAGGACGAAGAGCTGGCGTGGATGATTTCTCGAGAATTTTTCTGTAATCACTGAAAAGTCGTATAATCAAGACTTTTCCTTGGTTAACTTGAACATTTCAGAATGTGACTGACTTTCAATTACTTTATCGGCAGTAGACTTAAGTTTGTTGAATATTTAGCTATAAGGAACCTGTGCCATTTACACTAACAATAGATATGTGTGTTACCATATATGTTATTGAATGAAATAAAAGTAACTTTAGGCTTATGAAGTTCTCAGTAAATCAATATCACGTTTGGTACATGGAAAAGAACATAAGTTAATATTACAAATTAAGAAGCGCGGCCAGAGTTGAAACTATTTTGATCAAATCACCCGTGTGGTGTTTCGAACCGATTAATACACGATCGACAGCGATTATTACGGAAAATATTGAATTCTTTTATTATTGGAAAATTACACGCGGTTGCAAACTCGAAGTCCAAGAATAATCTTCTTTTCTTTCTTATCCTTCTCACCGTTCTTTTTCTCTCCTCCTTTTTCCTTCCTTCTCGACTTAATTCAAATGATTGACTCAGAGTATTTTCTTTCCATACGAAATTTACTCATATTTGGGAGAACTCATAACTGCAGATTTTCCCAAATATCGTTACCGAGCCGTTGGTCCCGGTTCATGAGTTGATGGGTCGATAGGTAGGGTCCAGGTGTGGGAGCTGCCTCCCTGGCGTCGGAAGCATTGATGCTTAGCACGGAAAACAAAATCGTCGGAAAAAAAAACAAAACAAGGATTTAAGGATCCCATTAATTTGATCTCGAAAAATTATTGTTTGTTTCAGAGATGCAAAATATCATGACACTCATTCGACACTCAACAACGCATCAACTGACTATCGCTGGCAGATCGTTTTGTCACGCATTGAGAGGTTGAGCCATGGCAAACAACAATCACCAGTAATGGTCGCTGCTCACAGGCAAAACGTAACACTCGCTGCTGATGATGTAAAGCACAACGACAACAATGAAAACGTCTGCAGTGCTATGATAAGAAAAGGCGAAACCACAGAAGAGAATAAAAATAAAACAAAGCTGGCAAAATTTAACGGAAGCTGTTGGGCACACTCACCAACACACTCACATAAGCAAGCAAAGCAGCAACTGCTTCAAAACGAGCATGATTGTCGGGAATGATCAGATCGGTGATGGATCAACACCGAAGACGATTCACCAGTTGTTTTTCACTTCTTTCGTCAACTTGCTGGATGGTCGTTACTAACGTTACTACCATCAGCTGTGTGACGATCGTGATTGTGATAGGTCGCAACTCTGGTTTATTTAATTATTATTAGGCAATCAAATAATAATTTTATTAATTCAATAAGCTAGTGCATTGTCCATTTCCTCACTCAGTGCTCATTTTTCTAACTCGATTTATGACAACCAACAATTTATTAAGATGATTTTAAATTCAGATCGTGGATTGGTGAATTTGCCGAAAACTTGAGGCACATAGAAAAAAAAATCAGTCTCAGACTTAGACAAATTTTGACAATTTATAGACAATCAATTTTAAAGATTTCGGAGATAGAAACTTGTATAATACCTCAAATTTTCATAACTCTGGGACCTAAACAAATTTTCTAGATAGCAGTCTTAGAAAAAAAAGGATTATCCTGGAATGAGAAAAATTGTAAAAAATGTCTAGGACTTAAAATCTCGATCTGGGATAAATTATAGAGATTTTGGACCAATTGTCCAATGGCTGGTGTGGTGCCCTCAGGGATATTTTAGGATGCTCGTGGTCGGAATAATCCGGGGATTCATCAACACAACTGTACACTTGTTTTTACTCTGTCTCTTTATTGACCTGTTTCTCCTCTTCGGTAAGGTAGTAGTGTTTCAGTCGGCCGTTGTCGTGGCACCACGGCACCACATCTGGTTTTCTCTAGGAGATGGGAAATCTAATCAGCGATGACGAAGTCCTTGAACTTTGATGGGAGTTTTACTTCTCGACGCGTTCTAGAATTTTCAGAAGTTATTAGTGAAGAATACTATAACTATCCAGCTTGACACATTTTTAAAAATTCTAGTCTTTTAAAATATGTCTAGGAGGAGGAGGAGCATAGTTTTCAGGTGGGGCATAGTGAGCATCCCGCAGTTTGGCCCTGGATTTGTAGCTGCATGAAACAAATCAACTGGTAGTAGGTTCAATATCATTATGATATTGATCCTACCATCCATAAATTTGTTCTGAACGTCCTGAAGTCCAAGCTGGTGCACGGGATGCTCACTATGCCCCTATTACCCCTATATTATGAAAATTTTCCTAAACCATTTTTCGAAATCTAAAGCTTGAAAAACGTAAAAGATCAAGACATAAAAAGCCAGGATATTTCGACTAGACTTACCTATGCTATTTCGATCACATGGCAAGGGAAAAAATAGAAATGGTATAATCTGGTCCGGACAAATTTTGAAGATAATGGACTTGAATGTGGCAAAAAAAAATTACACACAGAGAAATGATTTTTAAATTCAAATGGATATATTTTTGGCTCAGGGCCTAATATATTTTTGGTATTGATTCAAATATATTATTCGGTGAATTCAAAAAAAATATTTGTAAATCAACCAACTGGTTGTAGAGTCAATAATCAGTTTGTTGATTCTAAAAACCATTTTGTTGATTCAGAAATATGTTTTGTTGAAATAGTGATACGATATGTTTGAATCAATAACAAAATACATTAGATCCTGAAACAAAAATCCATTTTTCTGCGTGTAGTCATTCTATCACCTGCAATTGGACAGTTCTGGTCTGTTCGCAACTCTTCTCGTCGGACTTTACACGCTGATTTTTAATTAACCAAAGCAAGCTGTGATTTGAGGTGATTTTCCAAAGACAAATAATTGAATTATTCTTTACTTTCAAAATTTATATTGGTCGTAAAAAAGTGTATTTAATGACTAAATTTTAAGAAATAGTGACTTTAGTGTTTTTTGGTTGAAAGAAGTGACTGACTTGAAAATAGTGAACTAGCCACTAAAAAGTGACCTGCTACTAGATCTGAGGTGGGCTCTGCTCCCCACTCTTTGGGACATCCCCTCGTATAATGGCTTGTTCTGTATCGCATTGAAATATTTTTATCATTGAAAGGAGATTCTTCTTGCTCGCGTGGATCACGCGTAAGTGTCTCTGTTTACGGATCAACCTTCCATTTTTGGCCCTTCATACAATGGTAAATTGAATGCAATCAGATCATACTAGACATACTAGTTGGACAGTCCACTGTCTAATAGAGTTTTTGATCTAATTTTCGTCCTACTAAGCACACCCGCGTTTTACCTGTTTTCTGAAAGAGTTTAAACAAAAAATGGAATATTTCTTTCAAAGATGACTTCTAAATTTATTCACCTTTCCATACGTACCGTTGAATTTGATAAAGAGTCACAAATGGTTGAGATATTGTTTAAAATCTAATACTGCTTCTTGATTCTAAATTCGATCTACGAGTTTCAATTCCGTTCTAACGTATTGAAACGCCATTAGATTTACTTCGTTCTACGGATGATGGTAGAAAAGGGGATTCGCTAGGAGCGCTTCTTTTGTTTTGAGAACAATGAACGTAAATATTCATACAATGCGCTCTAATATGATCTACGTTGTAGTTAATGAACTAACGCATCGGAACAAACCTATTATTGATTTGTATAAGGTGAAATTATTGATATTATAGGTCTTTTCTGATCGATAGAACGGAAATGGGCGATTAAGACGAAGTAGCGCTCTACCCTAGCTGTGCCCTGAGTGGTATCCTTTACATAAATTCACTTATTATATTCTCGTTTACGTTCAAACCCTATTTTTCATAAAACTTCATATTGTATGAAAAATGCGGTTCAAACGAAAACGAGAATATGGGTGATTGTTTACATGTTCGATTTGAATATTTGCTCGATTTAGAACGAACAATTTTCGTGACGCGATGATATAATAAGAATCACATTCTTCTACGAATAAGTGGACAGCTCTCAACAAGAGCGAGACAACAAGAGCTTTAACATAAAATTGAGCGAAAAAGTTCGTCATTAAGCTATTCGTTTAGCCGTGCCTATTTCTTTCAGTAAACAAATACAAAGGACAAACTATCATCAGCAAAAAAATATCTTCATTTGATTTTTATTTATTTGTTTTTTTTTTTCAAATAACACATTTTATGACTACCAAATATCCATTCTTGGAACATATTATTAATATTTACAGCACATTAATAAATTATGATTCAAATTTATGTAATATAGCAATGATATTCAATGCCTAACAATTTATCCGCAAGCACTTGTATTATTCACGTTTTAAAATAAGTGTCAACATATCAGAATTAAAATTACGATTGTAATTTAATGATCTTTTCCGACATCAAGAGCATGAAGTATTTTTTACCACCGACATTTAGTTGGTGGTGGCGGTGGCGTAGGTTCATGATCTCGCTGAAAGTTATTGAGCTGATAGTTGCCATTGTTGCTATTGCGTCCATTATTGGCGTTGCTGTTGTTAGCGTAGTAAGGTTGGTTCATGCGGTACGTTCCTCGTACTCTAGAATTACCAACCATGTTCTGTTGCTGTGGTCCATTTTGACCATGTTTCGGTCCACTATGAATGTTGTTGTTGTTGTTGTTGTTGTTGCTGCCGACGCCGACGACGCCAAAGTTTTCGGCGTTGTGCTCGCCGCCGGACTGCTGCTCGTTTCCCGACTTAGCGCAAATTTCCAATCGTTGCAAGTCATCTAAATATTGGGCAATAAACAGGAAACATAAAGCAAAAGAGTTAGAATATTCTGTAATTGCAAAATATTGTTTTGGTCAATTTAATCTAATTAAAAATGTAAGTAAAGTTCGTTATAGAAGCTGCTGGCATGGATAATCTCTGCAAGTTTTAAAAGTTAATCCTTTGAGCGATTTCGTCGATATTCCAGTTTGCGTCAGTTCTTCTTATTGTTGAAATAACTATCTGCATCATTGCCTAATTTAACTGCACCTTTTCGATCACTGTCGAAAAATGGTTAATCTTTTCCGATTAGGTAGGGTTAGTTGAACGTATAGAATAGATATACTTGAATGAAATGAAAAGTTCCGGGAATTGAATGAACACAACATAAAATCCGGCAAGTTCCGGAAAAATTCATGATCATTTTCACAAGAAACTTATCTGAAGTTTATTTAGGATATAAGTTAGCAAGGAAAGGAAATTCAAACGTAATGTGTAAATTAAAAAAAAAAGGAATCATAACAAGTTAAGGGAATACTGTGTTGTGAAACGCGTACAACGCAAAATGAAAACTACAATGAGTATGTTTCCGAGAATCAGCTTCTACCAAAGAAGGAAAACCTCGTGTGACTAATGTGCAGTATGCCATGTGCTTTGGAGGCTGTATGAAATTGTAATAAAATAAGAGCTATAAAATAAGGATTTATACTTCCGCACCACCGAAGGTCACCTAAAAGAAATTTATAAAAGAAACTTATATACTAGTTCTGATAAGTCGAAATTTGGCGTGAAATAACTCCAAGTGATGCGTTGACTCCCTCTCCAAGCTCGCAGGTCCGACAAAAAAACATTTCCACAATACTTTTTTAAAACGCCAATATACAACGACCCGCGACAAAAACTTCGCTTAGCAATATAATATAATCAATCACAAGTTTGGCATGTTTTATACAAATACGGTACCTGCTGAAGCTGCAGAGTAAATTTGCGATGTTATTAGACCACCGGATGTCGACGACGTTGTAACCGTTGCCGTCGACGTTGAAGACATCGTGTTTTTTGCTGTCACCGACCCGGCGCCGCTGCTTTGAATCATCCTAGTTGAATTTATGGGGATATTTAGTCTTAAAATTAAGTGTTGAGTTAATAGATTCAATTGGAAAGGTTAACCTATTTGTGGTAGGTTAAGATGGTCTATCCATCAAAATGGCAACATTGCTCCTATGAGATTATTAATTAAGTAAACTTACGTATACGCCATGACAAAGCTTGATCAAAATAAGAATGTCACAAAATGCCGTGAAGATGACTTCATAATTCTGCAACATATTTATTGGTCATCAACCACCATCGACTTTTGGAATCCAATGGAGAAATCGATCAACTTGCTAAAACAAAGTATCTACCGAATCGACAAACATTGAAAGCCCAATAATAGTTTTAACCATCGAATTAGGCCCAAAGGGAATAGATCAATCAAACAATGAAAAAATAAAAGTTAATACACTTTCCAACAAGACAAAAACATCAAAAGACCTGATAAAATTATAGGTATATAAAAATAGTGAAAAGAGTAATTCAGGATTAGTGCTAAAAGAGTTGAACGCGAATACCGTGTGACACCCGTTCATCGATCGACCTCCATTGACCGCACATTATTTTTTTGATTTTTTTTGATAAAGTTCACAAAATGAGTTTAGACAAGTGTTTTACCGACTTAATTCAATTCGATTTTGGCTGACAAAGGGTGTAAATTGCGGGAAATTTCAATTAGAATCGGTTCCGTGCGATAAAGGTAAGAATGACAAATGTAACAAAACCGAACACTGAAAACGAATCTTACTTTTACTCATTCGTATGGATACATTTCTAAAAGCGTAGATTACTCATGCGCTGAGTGACGTACGCTTTTAGAAATTTTGCCCATACGAATAAGTAAAAATGACTCACAACCAGTCTTGAAAACTGTCACTGTAGAAGTAACAAAATGACTGATCACAGTCACCCTTTTAATTTTATCACTCTCGAATCGGACGCTCACTCAAGCAACGTACCAGCTAAGAGGCGTACCAGTTGCTTTTGACATTTGACAATAAAAGTTGGTCCCTCACCGCTCCACTCACTCATTCTGCACACTGCTGTTTACACTATTCTTCATAGAGAGTGTCATCCAACCCGGGGCAACTTGACAAGTCCAGTACATTTCCAGTGTACACGGTAAGAAAAAATACTCAAAATTAAGTTTAAAAAAACTCAACGTTGGGTTCTATCATTTGAGGTCCGCCGTTGAGTGAATCAGAAAAGCGGCGTTGGTTAAAATTTACTCAACTATTGAGTAATAATAAATGAACTAAAATATAAGTTTATTTTCATTGAGGTTGCTTTTATGCGGCTTTAATCATTTCATTTTCACAAGCGTTGATAGACGAGTGGTCAACACACGGGCCCCGTAATCTCAACGTCCATGGTTCGGTTCCAGTCTGCTCCGTTTTATATTTTTTTGTCAACGCCAGGATTACTCAAAATTGAGTTTTTTTCTTTAACTTAATTTTACCTAGCCCCACGGAAGCCACGTGATGAGTGAAAGGAACTCAATTTTGGGTACTTTTTTCTTACCGTGTACTCCGAAAATTTGGTACTGGTGGTTCTGTCAAACTCACAAATTTCAGAAGTGTTATCTGAATAGGGCGAATGCAGATATGTAAATAAAGTAAATAAAATACTGAACATAAAAACAGATAGCCTCATCTGTTTCTTGAAACTTCAAGTTGGTGGGGAACAATGTTAATTAAACGGACGGGTGTAACAAAAGACAATCACTGAAATTTATTCGTTTTAGAAGCTCATTATGAATATCTTTTGTTGAGAGACGCTTATTTTAATTTATTTTATTTATTTCTTCATGTTTGAATGAATATACGAAATGTTAGTGTTCACACAGCAAACCTGCTACTCACCGCGAATAAGAATCAATTTTGTATTTTTTTTCACCCCTCAATAGAAAGATGGGGAAGTAAACTGTTTTTAATGATACGGCTTTTTATTGCAAGTCTTCACCGCACAAGTATGCTCAGAAACTTTATTCTTAAGACTGATAATATTCAAGAGCAAAATATAATAGAATCAACCAATGTGTTTTTATTTCTATTTGATTATATAAGAAAAACTTCCATCAATCTGTTCCAATTTGTTTGGATTTATTTCATTTCACCACGAAAATCATAAATCGCTCTTTTCACATGGCATTCTTGCTTGTTGTTTGACATCCACACATGGTGAAACAAAAAGTTGCCTTCCCATAGAGAAATACCATTGCGGCGGTGAAGGGCAGACCCTTTGTTTACGTTGTGTGGCGACATCTACTATTTGCAAGTGGGTACGTGAAACTAAGATTATCTGTCACCTTGCCGGGGAGTTGGTGTCATCTCAGCAGCAACTTTTCTATCAATCAGTATTGTTGACATTCGTTTACCTATCATTGATGATAATCGTGAAATTCATTTTTCCTATAGTAGCCGCCGGTTCTAGCGCACAGTTTTTGTGCCCTTCACACGAAGAAACTGAAGAAAAAAGTATATTTCATTGATTAATATCACCTGAAGGATTCTGCTTTTTCAACGGCTGTTAGTTAAAGTTACCGTTAAACGGAGTGTCTTTGATCGCAGGGGAGACTTTGATCAGGTCGTGCAGCGCTACACAGAAAAAAAAAGTTGTTGAATATTACATCCAAACTGCTGCAACCAGGACAATCCATCGGTTGTGTAATATAACGTTGTACGATGTACATCGATTTTGCGAACAAAATTACATCCATTGATGTAATATTGTACCTGCTTTTTGCTATTACATCATTATTTCATCATCAGCTTGAATTACATTGATCGATATAACTTTTTTTTTGCTGTGTAATCTGCTCAGGCATCAAAATTATCCCTATCCATTATCCATCATCCAATCTATCATTGGATATTATCCCTACACTAGCTTGGTTCGTTTTTAAGTCAATAAATCTGGAGAAAATTTGAGATTTGGACGTATTTGAGTTTGTAACCAAACACGCGAATCACCGATTTCTCGCAAATATCAAATGATGTACGCTCAAATCTCAAAGTTCTTGTCTGTGTCACACTCAGACTTGACGTCTCATCATCTAGTCACTCAGTCGACACTCAGATTCCGATTGTCAGATATGAACGTCACTCTTTTGAAGGATTGTCAGATAGCTCAACAAGTAAGTCGGGGTTTGGTGTGGTGAGTGTTATCGGTGAGATTGGTTTAATTGTTTTGGTCTTTTCCTTTGGCTATGTACGCTCTCGTGACAATCGTGAGATTTTGCAACTCTGCTCACAACTGAATAAAAGTTACTCATTCTCTGAGTTGATTTCGTTATCTTTCAACACTTTTTTATGTAAGCGAACTTTAACATGTTTGTATAAAATAAATCAAGCAGATAACAATAGGATGTGCTGTACATCTAATATGGATACTTTTAAAGAGTGTAATGAAAAAATATGAACGATTAAGATTGATTGTAGAAAATGTTCACCATATAGCCATCAAACCGCAATCGGAAATGTAAACAGAGCGGCTTGTGAATGTTTTTACAAGTTTCAATATCGATTTTGGGTAAAATTGTTGAGGACGTAACCTTTTTATAAAACTCGTTTGTAAACTTTTCCGCATAACTCTGAGAAGCGATTAATGAGGATTTTATAAGATCTAGTATACTGCAGGTTGCAGTAGCGAGTTGTGGATAAACATCCAATCGATTCTTCAATCTACTTCTTTTGGTTCAACAAATTTGAATGTGACCAAAGTAGCCTCCCACGACGGTACTTCATCATTTCGCAGTAGTGATGTAGTTAGTGGCGGCTGTTCATAGACTACATAGATACTTTAGAGAGGGGAGTGTTTGACGAGTATCTATGGTCCATACAACTTTTAAAAATGTATATGGATCCAGGTGATCCACGACTATCGGTCAATCTCATGTTTGTCAATCTACTATTAACACTCCGAATACGGTGGGTAAAAAACTTTACCGACTACGAAGCCTCCGGAAAACGTGTAACGGCAAGTTTGCAATGGCATAACTTAGCCATTTCTTAATGAATTTCAAAAATTGTGGCACCTCTAGAATTCCTAGGGTTTGTAGATGATTTTGATTGTTTTTGAAGAATTGATTGAAAACAGAGTCGTTTAGTTTTTTAAAAAGCGAAAAGAGTTGTTACACGTTTTTTGAAAGGTGTGTTTATAGGGTTTTGCAAGTGGCGCAAGATCTGTATATTAAATTAATGGGCACAAATGTTCACAATTAGCCAGAATACAGTCATGGTTCCTATACAAGGATCCTGAAGACAACGGAACGGTCCTCGATAAATCAGGAACATCCATAATAGTGGTCAATCCATGAACCTGATCCTAGAGCTCCACGGTTTTTTTTAACATTAGGAACTGTGATATAAACAGGTATTTGGGGTCGTGACATAAACATGGACCTGGATGTCCATGGGACCGTACTCCGGAGGTTCCGGAACATCCGTAAAAGTGGTCAATGTATAAACTGATCCTAGAGCTCAACAATTTTTGAAGAACACTAAGAACTGAGATATAAGAATGAATTTGGATCATGGACCCAGATGGCCATCGGATCGTCCAGCGGAAGATCCGGAACATCCGTAAAAGTTGTCAATTCATAAACTGATCCTAGAGCTCCACAGTTTTTTTTCAAAAAACATTAGGAACTGTGATATAAGAATAATTTTGGGGTTTTGACATAAACATGTACATGCCATGGGACCGTCGTCCGGAAGATCAACAACATCCGTAAAATGGTCACTCCATAAAATTGAGAGGTGGAAGCAGTACTATGACGAGCACCTCAACGGTGATGCAGCAGAAAACGAAGGTGTCACGGTAACAGACCTTGGAGCACGCGCAGAAGACGACAGGCTACCGGCCCCTGATCTTCAAGAAGTTGAGAAGGAGATCGGTCGGCTGAAGAACAACAAAGCAACTGGTGTAGATCAACAACCAAGTGAGCTATTAAAATACGGTGGTGAAGCACTGGCTAGAGCACTGCACTGGGTAATTGCCA